AGCCACAAAAAAAAAATAAACGCCCCCCCCCCCCCCCCCCCCCCCCAATTGCTATAAATTAATTAGTTCTAATTCTACTTTAAATAATTATGTCAATAAAAATAAAAAATTATAAAGAATTATATGTCATCGTTATATGAAAACATGCCAAAAACTCCTATGGACAATTTCACGTTTTTGGTAGTGTCCCCTGAATAGGGGACCCCTATTTAGGGGACACCCCTATTAAGTCGTCCCCTTAATAGAGGTTCTACTGTACTTGCTATCCATAAAACGTGATTGTTTAACGAAATGTAAAGCTTATTAATCGTGGCAGGCCGTAATTACCTTGCATTTGAGTTCTCGTGTCATGCTTTTGACCTTGCTCCTTGTTATGTTAATTAAGAGGTCAAAGTGACATTTTGTTCATAGCAACATCCAAACTTAGGAATTGGGCAACCAAATACGTTCCAAAATTTAGACGTAATTGTTGCCTAATTTCAAGAGCCTCTCTACCAGCCTGCTCTCTACAGGATTCAACGAGATTCCGTTTAAAAGGTAACATTTCTGGCGTAGGCTAGGTTAGTGTGAAATTTTAAAAAAATCATTTTAAATTTTCCTAGCCTAGGCCTAGGCTAGCCTAGCCTATCTTCCTTGCTAGGTCCCTGGCCTGGGCCTAGTTAGTAACTAGGCCCTAGGCCTATGCCTAAGTAAGTTAGCGCCGGACTAGGCCCTAGCCTAGGCTTGCTTTCCTTGCTGTTGCGGCTGGTTGCTGAAAAATAATTGGTCAAGGCTAATAGTAATACTCACAGTAGCTGTCCATACATAAAGAGTAAAGAGAAAAGTGTCGGTTCTCTTTAGGGGAAGTTTACCGTATTAGACGTATGACCCACAAGATGAGGTAGGTTGCATAGAAAGGCATCTTACCTTAGGCTTCCTATGATTATAGAGATTTGCTAGGTCTCTATAGATTCTTATACTACTCGGGATACTATATAGGAAAAAGTGGACATACTTACCATTCACTCGCAGGTGCAATTCACTCGCTAACAGTGGTAGGTAGTATAGGTATGTCTCGGTTTATCGTCAGTATCTCCAGTTCTCCTTTCTTCTCCTCCGCACTCTGTGCGGGGTTCCCCATAGGGTCTTCCACGGGTGCGTGGATTTCCCCCGGTGATTGGCTGCAACGTATAGATGACGTCATTCACAACCAATCACCGGGGCAGCGGCACATCACTTGTCCCACTTTAATTTTTTTAGAATTCCTTCTCCTGGATTCTCCTGGCTTCCCCATCACAGTTGTTTTTTTTTTTTCTTTTTTGTGTGTGTGTTGGTGAAAGAGAAAACACCAAGAACCGATAAACAAATGGGGTTGTGGTGAATCCCATATTTTCGGAAAAGGATGCCAATAGGGGACGATGAAAGTCCTGAAGCAGGATTGCTAGTGGGGCCGGCTCCCATGGGTAAACCGGCCGCCGCAGCTGCTAAAAAATGGCAAGGTGGGGAACATAATATGTTCCAACCAACATTCCACACAAAAATAATCCCAGTGGGAAAAGCAGCACCATAGAAATACAACTTAAACGCCCAGGATAAATTTGAATATCCCAATTGGGTCTTGGATTTTAAAAACAAGACAAGCCAACCTGCCCAAAAACAGTAGCTGCTCGAGAATAGAACAGTGGCGAATGAGAGGACTAAAGGTCCAACCTACAACAGTGAGGCCATGGTGAACCTCCAATTTTGGGGTGTGGAGGCAATTTGTCCTCACAAGCTTTTGGTGAGCAACTGAAAGGAGGATGGGGGTGGGGGGTGGTGCAACAATAATGGAATCATGGAATCTTTTATTTTTTAACAATAACTCCAAAGAACAATAAAAACATAACTCCATAACAACAACAGCC